TCTTATCAAAGTGTCATGATATTTTTATTTCTACAAACTACTGCCAAAAAAATCGTATGAAAGAAGCAATATTTAATAGTTTATATTTCACGTGACTGTATGATGAACTCTTTGATTTAACTGTTATTTAAATTTTGCTAGGGAAGAGTACAAACATTAAATGTGTGCAACACTTACCACTATTTACTACAAAATAGTGTTAGTTAAACAATACAAAAAACAATAGAATTAGCATAATTTAGCAGTATTTATGTTGCACAGTTTTAGTGTTTGTGCTCTATTAAAACAAATTGACAATTGCACAGTGTATATGTCACTCAACAATGTCTTTCAGTCATGGACAAAGCATAACAAGAAGTGCACCTTTTTTCAGCCTCCAGTCTGTCCATTCTCTTCCAAAGTCTATTGACCAGCAGTTCTTGTTCTTGTTCAAGAGTGTTCTCAAGATCTACTTTTTCCTTTCTTAACTGAAAATATATTTATACATTAAGTTTCATTGTTAAGGCTGTGTCACACTAGCGTTTTTTTCCTGCAACTTGGGTCGTGCAAAAAAAGTTTGTAAGTTGCACAATGCCATGTCACACTAGCAAATTCCGTTGCAACGTAGCTCGAGCAAGAAAAGTTCAAGTTGCACGAGTAAATTAAAAATTTTTACGATCGTTTTCTTCTTCAAAATTATCGCTTTCTATATAACTAATACCGACGTTGGCCATCTTTGTTGATTATTACAAAAAGTGACAGCAGGACAGATTCTCGCTTTCTTATTGGTTCGTTCGTCTAATTGAACATTTTGGAAGTTGCAAGAGACCATGTCACACGCACGTTTTTCTGAAAAATGTTGAAAAAAGTAGAAGCCAGTTCTACTTTTCTCTCAACAAAAAATGAAATGTTCAAGTTGCACGAGGGCGTGTCACACGTCAAAAATGCTCGTGCAACTTACATTTTTTTGCGCAACACAAATTGAAGGGGCGGATTTGAAACGACCTAAGTGACGATTTAGGGTATTTTTGAAATTTTCGAAAAATTGACAAAAAATCGCTTCAATCATTTGTTTCTSGTCTAAATAATCATGTTKGCTWGTTATKTCTCGTGATTTCCTTTTAAAAAGCGGAAAAAAGTCGACATTTAGTTACAGACTGTACCCTCCCCTCCCCCAAACTTTAGCATAGGGTTAGTTCCAGCCTTATGCAAGAGTTAGGGTTCCTATAGCCTAAGACAGGGGCTAGGRTTGCTTGATTTAGGGTTAGGGTTAGAATAGTTAGGGTTTAGGCTAGGGTAGGGTTAACGTTAGCTAAGGGTTAGGCTCTAAAACCTGAGTTTGTAAAGCAAACAAACTCAGCCCCCCCTCCCCCCTCCCCCCTGAGTCCACACTTTGAAGTTTGTATAAAATCACTTAAACAGCATGGATGACTGAGCTACTCATTTTGACATTGAAAAGCCAGTTAAGCGACAGTTGAAGTCACAAAAATTAAACCGAAAACAAGGGCAGTTTTGACTCTAATTCTCGCCTACAGTGACTAAAAAGCACTATTTCCTTGTCTTTTTTTCCTACAAAATTCTACATTTCAAGAAGCGAATGACTGTTGGTACACAATTTTAGTCCTACTTCTGTCATTTAAGCATTTTATTTTTCACATTTTCCATAAAGATCTCATGCTACGGCTTTCTCTTTGGACACTGATTCAGAACACGTGTTTTAACCAGATTTTTGCGNCAATCTCGTACCCAGCGCCCTTGTCCCTCTTACTGCGCATGCTCGACGAAAAACAAGAGCTCTGGAAATATCAAACACCGGACGTCAGAAACTGGCTATTTCACCCATGCGCAGTAGAAACCCGATCTAACGGCTTTATTTTACTGATTTTGCTCAAGAAAATCGGCTAAATGAAAACCTTCGAAGTCAGAAAAGGGATTTTTTTAGACCTTAGATGATAAATCTATCTTCTTCGAAGCTATTTTGATATCTATTATGATCAGACAGTGACAGTTAGCGATTATCATGGCGTGACAGTTCGTCGCCTCGTTGTATTCCATTTTATACTTAATTGATCATATTACTCTCAAATTCCTACTTCATAGACTTAATAAATGCTTTTAAAGGAAGAATTGAAGGTGAAGTAGCGAAATACAGAATGATTTGAGTGTTTTTCTCTGTGATATTTTCACTTCCGGCGGCAAGCTGTTTATTTTATGAGCCAGTCAGAGAGCGAGAAATTTTCGAAATTTCCAGAGTCACTGTTTTTCGTCGAGCCTGTGAGCCTGCGAGTAAGAGGGACAGTGGCGCTGGGTACGAGATTGGCCAAAGAAGTCGGTAACTATGGGTCTTTTTTTGTTCTTTTTGGAAAGAAATCAGGAGAAATAAGTACTAAACTAGACGCTTGTAAAGCGTGATGCGGGCTAGCTTAGCAAAAGATTCACAATACAAGATAAAAATTAATGAATATTGTGACTATGACATAACTATATATGAAAGTAAAATATGCCGTCGAATACCTTAGTTTTCTTTGCAGTTCAATTCTTATCGTTAACCTTCACTGTCTGCTATAATCTTATCATATATCAACTATCAACCATAATCTTTGTGCTATAGTGATTGTCCTACATTTGCAATGTATTTTGTAAAAATATTTATGGAAGCTCTTTACTTCTTGGTTAGCGATATCACATCTATTATTATTTACATAGCAATGCATTTTAGATGGCATGAGTGCATTCTTTAAATTTTGTTTTTATTAGCCTTTCTTTCGTACAAAAGAAATCTAAAAATTGAAGCAAAACAAAGCTAAATTTCAAAGCTAATTTTCAAAACTTGTACTTTGTAACTAATAAAAAAAAACGATGATATTAAAGCAATTTCTTTGAATTTAAACATTAAAAACATTGTCAATTAAACAGAAGAATACCTTTTGCTGTCTATAAATGTGGAAAAAAAGCCAGTATTTGAGCTGATTTCATGTTAAAAGGTGTACTGAATAATCATCGAGCTGGACTGGTGAGGAAAGCGATGCAAAATCGTCTTAAAATGATAACTAGCAAGCTTGAAACTTCACAAATGCAATATCCTAGTTCAATTCTTCAATGAGAAAGCGCTTTTGGTATTTCTTGTTGATAGTTTTTGAGTACTTTTTTCTCTGTTATCGGCAAAGTACCCGCCATTTTGGATTCTTGAGAAAATTTTCAGTTCGAGAGAGACTGCAAACTAATAGATATGGCTTCCTGTGGTTCGAGAGAGACTGGAAACTTCGACACGACAGGAAAAAAGGTAAAACTATAGCTCGCTAATAAGGTTATTTAGACTTAAAATAAGTGATTGGAATGATGTTTTTTTAATTTTTCGAAAATTTTAAAAATACCCTAAATCGTCACTTACGTTGTTTTCAAATCCGCCCCTTCATTTGCACGAAAAAAAACGCTAGTGTGACACGGCTTTAGTATGTGTAAAGTTTCATTAAATATGAAAACAATTCCCTTAAAAATAGCATAGCTGCACAGTCGCCAACATCTGTCACTTTTGCTGAGGATTTTGAAAAGATTTCAGTTGGACTGACTTCACAAATATTTATTAATAATAAGGAGATATTCATAATTGTCCTCGTCCAGATATTTCTTTTTGCTAATAATCCTATGTAAATACTCCTACTTGCTAATATTCCTTTGTAAAAAATTGTTTTTATTGTTTAACAAGCTTATAGAAGACTGTGTGCTGAATCACATCCTTGAATATGAGTAGTATCCAATGTTATTTTTCAGGAAAATTGGAAAATTAAAGAATCTGATTGTTGATGAATGATTCTTTGATTTAATTGGCTCAAAAATTCCAAACCAATATCAGTATGATATCGCATCCAGCAAGAGCATTCAATTTTCCTTTGGGAAACTGAGAAAGATTTGAATAAACATTGCTCATTATAGGTCTTCATTAATCATCAATATCAAAACGTTCAGTCATGGCTTATCCTATAGCCTCAAAAATCAATGGTAACTATGCATA